TCAAATTTTTGATTAATTTAAGTCAAAAGCTTTGTTTTCTTTTGATCTTTCAATCTCATCTTTCAATGATTTCTTTCATCTTTCAATTGTTCTTCAAGCTTTTCAAATTTTCAATCGACTCGAGTTATACGCATTTTTAGGTAAACTTTTTGTATTCCTAATCAATTTTCATTCATTTTTCTCATAGTTATCGTATTTTTCTTTCTCAACTTTCCCTTTAAACTTTCAAATCTTTCAACACCTTTCAACGACTTCAAAATCTTTAAAATCCTTCAAATTCCTTTAATTTTTACACCACATTTTTGAAAATCTTTAAACTAAATAGACAAAAAAACAAAGATTTTTTTTTTGACTGTTCAAATTGATTGTTGGTCAGCCATTATTTCAAGTAAAAGTTCGTAAAAGAATCTTTCAATTATTCAATTATTTTCTTTTCATCTTTCAATTGGGGGGTGGGACAAATGCGACCTTTTTTTTGCGCACCTGGACATTTGCGCACCTTTTTTTTTGCTGGAAAAGGCCTTAGGCAAGGCCGTAGAGCTTCGAAAATATTTCCATATAAGGGAATCGTATGCGTAGATTCCGAATTTCGACAAATCAGACCTCGCTGACACGTCAAATTTGGGTTAAAAGGCAAAAACTGCGGAAAAGCGTTAAGTTGCGTAGTTTTTGCCTTTTAGCCCAAATTTGACGTGTCAGCGAGGTCTGATTTGTCGAAATTCGGAATCTACGCATACGATTCCCTTATATGGAAATATTTTCGAAGCTCTACGACCTTTCCTAAGGCCTTTTCCAGCAAAAAAAAGGTGCGCAAATGTCCAGGTGCGCAAAAAAGGTCGCATTTGTCCCACCCCCCTTCAATTCTTCAATTGTTTTCTTTTCATCTTTCAATTGTTCTTTAAGCTTTTCAAATTTTCAATCAACTCGAGTTTCGTCTTATGACTTTTGCCGGCAAAGCTTAAATGCTTAATCAAATGCAAATTAAAATCTAACGCTTTGCAAAACTCCTTCCTTTCCTCAATCAATAGCACTACAATTGTTTATTTTTAGTATTTTTAGTAACCTATATCCCTCAAATGAATCTTTACAATTTTTGAGGTAAATAGCCGTCTCTCAATCTTTAGAAAATCCACTGAAAAAAAAAACGGCGAAATGGATTAGAAAATTTCGAAGAAAAATGGGGAAAAAGAAAAGGTTATTTGTTGAATTCACACGTGTCATTTTTGTGTCTGTCCTCAAAATGAATTGAGGACAAATTGTTCGAGAGTGGGTGAGCGAGGGATTTCTGTGAAAAGGGAAACGGGGCAACAGAGGACTCCAATCTCTTATATCATATTTTTGAGACAATTGCATTCAGCTCAATCAACTCGAGTTTCTTCCTATGACTTTTGCCGGCAAAGGTTAGATGCTTAATCAAATGCTAATTATGATCTAGCGCTTTGCAAAACTGTTGCAAGGATATTGAAAAACTGTAACTGTAACTGTAACTGTAGCTGTAGCTGTAACTGTAACTCTAACTGTAACTGTAATGTCGTAACGTTGCTGTAACTGTAGGCTTTATGTAACTGTAACTGTAACTGTAGCTGTAACTGTAACTGTAGCTGTAACTGGAACTGTAGCTGTAAACTCAATCTTTATCTAGCTACGTTATTCCGCTAAAATCGACAATATTTTAACATTTTTTGACATCATCAACATCGACATTCAATATTCAATCAAAATCTTCTTAATACTTTTGCTTTTGAAAACTTTCAACAAAAAAAAACAAAATTTTCTCTTAAGAAACCCTTCTACGCACTTTGATCACTTCAAGAGATGAAAAGCAAAGAAAAAAAGTTTCATTTTCATTTCACGCGTGCATTTTTCCAATTTTCCTCTTTCTCCAGAAATGCCGACTCTTTTTTAATAAATAAATCGAGTTTTGAACTATCGGAAAAGGTTTTTTTCTAGAGAAAAGCTTGAGAAATCATTCGAAACAGAACAAATTGCAGCATATTAATGTCCAAATTTGTGCTATTCTTTGCCTTTACTATTTAGTACTTGTATTTGTAGTTGTTTTTGACTAAAACCATAGGAGTGTCGAACATAACAGTAAAACAGTCGACTCTCTCTATAACGGAACTCTATATAGCGAAAAACTCTATATAACGGAATCGAATTTTGATCCCGTTCGACGCTAAGCTATCTATAACGGCACTCTATATAACGGAAACATTTTTTGGTCGCTTCCATTCCGTCGGCTCTTCACAACTATATTTAATTTATTATATTATATTCTTTATTAAATACAGTCGACTCTCTATATAACGGAACTCTATATAGCGAAAAACTCTATATAACGGAATCGAATTTTGATCCGACGCTAAGCTATCTATAACGGTACTCTATCTAACGGAATGCTCTATAAAATGAAACAAATTGTTTGGTCTCTTCCATTCCGTTATCGAGAGAGTTTACTGTACTTTCTTCTCATGCAAACGCACTTGCACTCATTTCTTCCAGTTCTTCCAGTTTTTTGTGTTGTTGATTTTTTTTGAGAAACATTGCAGAAACTATTCTTGCCAGGTTTAGATAATTTTTTGTTGTCACTGGCAGCTTGTTTACGAAGGGGCATAAAAAAAGAAATGATATTGTAGGCGTTCCTTTTACCATTTTGGAGTTAATTATTTAAATTCTTTAGTAAAAACGAGTAAATCTTTAGCAATTATTTAAATTCTTTAGTAAAAACGATAAGAATTCGCTCAATTTCGCAAAAAAACATTTGATTTCTTCTAAAGAGACTGAAAGGGCCAAAAAGAAGGGCCAAAAAGAAGGGCCAAAAAAAGGCCCAAAAAGAAGGGCCAAATTTAGAAACTCTCGTGACGAAAATACCAAGAAATGATATAAATTTTGGCTTGAAAATTGAATTAATGTTGAGTAAACATGTGAACGAAAAAAAAAAGAGAAAAAAAAACGATGAAAAAGAGATCTTTCTTTTTTGTGGAGTGATGGGGCTAATCTTTGCGGGAATTTTCAATATTTGCCCATCATTCGAAAGAAATTTTTGCGTTCTAGTTACGAAAGGACGAAAAGCATTTCTCGTTAGAAATTCGACTTCCTTGCCTAACTTTTACAGAAAATTTTTGATTTGATATTCTTGTGTAAATTTCGGATGACCTAAAGCCATCAAAAAATGGCTAAAATATTAAATTTTGATTCGTTTTCGTGTTAGAGTTTTCAAAACTTACAACTCTTTCTTTAGTGAGGGAGATTTTAAGTAACGACCGTTTAATAGGAATTTTATGATCATTTGACTGATCTCTGCCGATTTAACTCCGATTTTTCGTTAATTTTTGTCATTCAAGCTTGCCATTTTGAATCTATTTTTCACTTTCTTTTTACTAAAACTTATTGCTCATCGTCAGCTCTGTCAGCTCATTGTTAGCTCTATCAGCTCATTGTCAGCTCTGTAAGCTCATTGTCAGCTCTATCAGCTCATTGTCAGCTCTGTCATCTCATTGTCAGCTCTGTCATCTCATTTTCAGCTCCCATTTCTATAATATTTACTACGATATGTCTAGCGCTGAACAAAATTGTTCAAGAGAAACTTTTCCGAACCCAGCCTGCCTTCTGGCCTGCTTTGCCTGATTTGTCTACCATGGCTTTGACTCACAAAAGTTCCTAGACAAGCCAGAAGTCAGACCTGGTTACTGAACTGTCTCTGGGGTTTATCTGATCCGCCACATCCCTGGCTTTCTGATATACAAACTTATTATCTAGCTTATTATATTCTGTGAGTATCAATCTGACATCATTGTCTCCACTATTAGCAACAAAATCTGTTTTTGGTCTTTTTCTGATGTTGTGAGCAAGACGAGATGAGTGTGGCAAAATAAGATTTCGTGTATCCGTCATCGAGGATGGAGAGAGGATGGGGTTGACTAAAAATGGCGGTGGATGGATTCGGGGTTTATTTTTGGGGCCCGAATTAGGTGTTTGGAGGAGAAAACGGGGCAGGCTGGGGAGATGGGGCTGGGGAGATGGGGCTGAAGGGATGTGTCTGTGTGTGGATTCTTCAGTCGAAGGGGAAGGGAAAGCTTTAGAGTCGCATACACAGATGGAAGGGAATGGGGGGGGGGAGGGTTTGGGTTTGGGTCGGAATTCACTTATCCTCACCTTTTCTTCAAAATGGTCGAAAAGAAGAAGGTGGCTTGTGGTTTGTGGAAAGGGAAGAGCAGTCAATTCTCCGCACCTCTCCAAACACATACTCACCTTTTTTGAGGAAAGACTGCAAAAATGATTTCCTTTCCGAGAAATGGTTGCGAGTTTTTTGTTGAAATGTAATTTTGACGATATCCTGCTTCGGACGTAGATAGAAATGCTATGGAATGTCTTTACTTGACGATTTTTGTTTTCCTAAGAACTTAGCTTCAGATTACTTCAGGTTACTTCAGATTACTGTCTTACTGTCTAATTAATGCGCTTTCTGAGTATCTTTTAGCCAAACAGAGCTACGCATTACGGTAGCATTCCCAAGTCAGCGTTAGGATACAAAAGAAAACAAAGAAATGAGTTGTTCAATTTTAGAGCACAACCACTCTGGGTAGTTCTTCAGTTTTAACCAAATTCTTGAAGCTTTCCCCTTAAAACTAGATGTAGCGCTAATCAATCCGACTTTTTCTCCTACAAACCTGCTCAAGATTCTTTGAAATTAAGGCACAATCTTATCATTTCAAAAACCAATCCCCAAATAACATCACGCATCACTTTCTCAGCCTTATTTTATTTCGATGCCATCTGGTCGTTTCCTTACTTTTTCTTGTCTCAATTTTTTTTGTCTCTTGTCGTCTTTGTCCACTCTAAAGCCACAACTCTAAACATTTTATACTTTGTTTATTTTTTTTACTACAATTATCTGTTTACTACAATGTGTATCTGTTTACTACAATTATCAGTTTCAGTTTTTGCTTCCCATTTCTCTGATATGATTGTGATGTGAAAGAAAAGTTGAAGAAAAAAAAATGAACGCAACGAGTAGCGAGTATGTGGAAGAAATAAAAGAAAATGGGAATAATTCGGATTGCTTTTATGATCCGCCATTTGTCACCGAGAGGTTTGTTGAGAAAATAATCATTCAATCATTCAAATCGATTCTCCTGGTCAAGCCAGATGCTTTATTTGGCCTTTGCTGGTTTATCTTTAGTTTAAAATTGGTATAACTGGAGCTGGTAAAACCAAGACGAGCTAAGGTTCAGGTCAAGGTCAGCTCTAGCTTATCTTGGATCTTGGTATAACTGGAACTGGTAAAACCAAGTCAGGCTAGGGTTCAGGTCAAGGTCACCTCTGGCGTAGAGCTTGATTTATCAAAACTTAGCATTTCGCAATCAAGTAATCAAGTTGCAAAAATTAATCACTTCAAAAGTGATGAATTTTGAGTTATGCGCCAATGTTGGCTCAAAAATTGTCGAATGACTGGAAGAATTTCCCGAACTTCAAGGGGAAACTTTTCAATTCCAAGTACGGTACTTTATCAGGGTTTCTTTGTCAGCAATGGTTGCCTCAATTCACAGCTCGAGTTCAACTCATTGATCCAATACAGTTACAATCTTTGAGCCAACATTGGCCTATGACCAATGGCCAAAAATGTAAACGAGTTTGATGGCTTGAAAAGTTTTATAGGCTTGAAAAGGCTTGAAGGCTTGAAGGGAAAGACTTGAAAAGGCTTGAAAAGTTTTATAAAGGATTTTATAAAACGTTTTTTTTTTTGTTTCATTTAGCATATCTTATCTAAAACCAGACTGAGTAAATAAAATTTGTTTTTAAACAAAAAAAATTCAAAACCTTCTATGAGTAAACAGATATTCGCTGATCAAAGATCTTAAGCAAATCTTCCTTTCAAAAAAAAGATCTCAATTCAGATTTTGGTTGGTGGGTGTTGCGGGCACAACAGTGGCAATCATTAGCTTCATCGAGAACGCTTTTCTTTTCTATGTGTTGATGAAGAGGTTAGTTGAAAAGAAAACTAAAGAAAGAAAAGAAAGAAAAGAAAACTAAAGAAAGAAAAACCAAAGAAAAGAAAACAAAGAAACAAAAGAGAACTAAAAGAAAAAGACAAAGAAAAAAAAAAAAAAAAAAAAAAAAAAAAAAAAACAAAAGAAAGAAAAGAAAACTAAAGAAAAAAAGAGACAAAAAGAACTACTTACTTACTGTGAACTACTTACTAATAGGGTTGTCCGGAAATAAATGAGCTGTTTTTAACTTGAATATTTAAAGTACCATAACTTCTGATCCAAACAAAACTCTTATTAATCGAAATAAGAACTATTACACTTACACATTTTTGCCAACGAGAAACAAGTTTACGTGTGCCGGTAGCATAGATGTCCGGGCTTCTGGTGGCGATAAAGTCGGCGAAGGCGGGGCTGGCACCGTCTTGAGTTTTGGAAGCATTTCTCCCGGAGAAAGTTGTTCGAGGTGCCTGAAAACTGGTAGTCGGTAGTGACGAAAGGTCCGGCGAATATGGCGAGTGAGGAAAAAGTTTCGTAGCTCAGTTCGTTCAGCTTTTGCAGGGTCGGCAGTGCGACGTGCGGGCGAGCGTTGTCGCGGAGAAGAATTGATCTTTCTCGTTGACCAATGCCGGGCCCATTCGCCGCAATTTCTGGTCCATTTCGTCGATCTGTTGGCAGTACTTTCTGTCGTAATCGCTTCGCCCGGATTCAGAAAGCTGCAGGCGATGAGACCGACTGCGCGACCACCAAACAGTTACCATAACCTTCTTTTTGGTGCAAATTTGCTTTGAAAGTGCTGGTGGAGCTCTCCGGCGTCCAACCACTGGAGCGGACACCGCCACCGGTTGTCGTAGAGGATCCACTTTCATCGCACGTTACGATCCGGTCGAGAAATGAGTCGTTTTTGTTGCGCTGGAGAAGAGCAGACGACACCTAAAAACGACGATTTTTTTGATTTTCGTTCAATTCGGTGCGGCACCCATTTATCGAGCTTCTTTTTTGACCTTTCTAATCCGTTGCAAGCGGTCAGAAATGGTCGTCTTGCTCCATCGCCAAAGCTCCCTCCGCAAGCTTTCGAATAGTCGTACGTGGATTTGCTTCCCCACCAGGGTCTCTCATTTCGTCGTCATCGAGTTCAACAGGACGGCCACGGCCTTCCTTTTGTCTTCGAGATCAAAATCGATCACCTCGGAATTTTCGGAACCAAGTTCGCACTGCTGACTCGCCGACACTGCCTTGGCCCCAAACTTTCGTTAATGCTACGAGCCGCTTCAGCTGCATTGCGACCGAGTTTGAACTCATAAAAGAAAATCTTGCAAAAGTTAGTTTCGACATCTAAGACGGCGAAGCTTGCATACTTCGCAAAAATTTTATTTCAACAAAATTTTAAAGGCATGGTTAAAGAGAGCGCGAACTCAGCTTCCTAGTGGTATATAACATTACAAGGTACAGAGCATACTTTGATTGAGAAAAATGTACCCAAATAATAAACAATACAAAAACGCTCATTTATTTCCGGACAACCTAATAATAGGTGAGCAAATGTAAAAACGTTAAAAAAAGCGCTAAACTCTTTAATAAAGGTATACCTCCTATATTCACAAATAGTTTTGATGAGAAAAACCTTTAGGCGTTCTATCGCGCCTCTCAAAATCTGTACCTCGGTTTGCCTGCCTTTTTCGATATGTTTATGGCTGGGTAGGGGAAATCGTCTCAAAAACTACAGTAATCAATATCTATCATCATCATTTTTCAGTGCATACATTCCGTTGATGAGTTTGGAATCTTTTCGCTGACTATTTCCGATCGTTACTCTTGCTGACAGCTTGGTGAGTGGAGATTTAGGGTTTATCAACTCCCTCAAGTCAATTTCGATTCACCATACATTTCTCTATATTTCACATTTCCATTTCAGATTTCCCACATTCAGATTCGCTATGGTTCATTCTCTCTGGTCGAATATTGATCGTGACAAGATTTCTTTTTTTTTGTTGGCTAACTCAGAATTTTTAGAAGAAAAATGTTAGGAGAAGAAAAGTGATTTGCATTTGCGGAAGCCTGGC